CAGATGGGAAATACATCATCAAGAAAGAGCTGACGGACAACCCGGAGCCGACATGGCGAGCCATGGAGAAGATTTACAAGTCCGGCAAGGCCAGGGCGATTGGCGTCTCCAACTGGACGATTGAGGGTCTGGAGAAGCTGCTGCGCTTTGCAGAAGTCAAGCCCATGCTTAACCAGATTGAAATCCACCCCTTCCTGCCCAACACCGAACTCGTGAAATACTGCCAGGACCACGGCATCCTCCCAGCCGCCTACTCGCCGCTGGGAAGCCAGAACCAGATCCCGAGCACGGGCGAGAAGGTGCGGACGAATGAGAAGCTGAACGAGGTCGCGCGCCGCAGCGGTTACGATCTCGCACAGGTCTTGTTGGCCTGGGGGTTGCAGAGGGGCTACGTGGTGTTGCCCAAGAGCTCGACGCCCCGGCGTATCGAGAGTAATTTCCAGATTCCGGAGCTGAGCAAAGAGGACTTTGAGGCTGTCGAGGAGGTGGCGAGGGGCCGGCACACGCGCTTTGTCAATATGAAGGATACGTTTGGATATGATGTCTGGCCGGAAGAGTCCAACGGCGAGCTCAAGGCGTAGCTGGACAGCGCTGTTTGAGAGGAAAAAAGTAGATGCAAGTTTCTGACGTTTAGCGATACCAAAGGCCATGTCAAGGCTTGTAGAGATGGCTCATATGAGCAAGAATTCATTCATCATTCATAAAAATGTTCAACTTAGACTTGGACACTGACTACCGGAGTCCCCAATGCCACATCGTCATCGCTGTTCGTGACCTAGTAAGTGTAATATATAGTATGTACTTCGGTACCGATCTTCGTACGCCTGTTGCCCTACTACAGGCTTCGGGTATCATTGCTCTCGACTTCTGTTCCCTCACTACTCTGCTTATGCCTTTTCCCTTTCCATCGGAATCTATTTACAGGCCTCCCCACTGACTCTATTTACAGGCCACATCTACACCGCTGCCTCTGATGTTGACTCGAATGTCAAGTCCGCTCGACCAGCGAATCGGCTACATTATTACGTCATGATTGTCGTGTGTTGATCTCCGCAATAATAGTATACAGATATCAAGTCAAGGCCAGGCCATCTAGCATCTCCAGATTCGCCTGTTCTCGGCGTTCTCTCTGCGCAGAGGTTTCCTCTCTTTGTTTCGAGGCTTGTACCTCTGCGAGCACGATTTCAGGAAAGTAGTCTTTGGTGAACTGCATAGCAAATTGTGCATCTGCGTATCGCTCATCTTGTATAGATAGGCGTGCGATGCCCAAGCAAAGTCGTACGACAAATTGCCTTCGAGGCCGTGAAAGGTTGGAGACCATCTTGGTTATTGCAGGTTCCTTTACGTAGCCCAGACCAGGGAGGGCAGTAGGCTCAGTAGGGTGGTGAAGCCAGAGCATCGCTTCCACTACTGGATTAAATGATGCTCCAATCCAACGGTGCGTGGACCTTAAAAGTTGTTGGTAGAGATCAGGGTTCAGGCTTTCCGTTGTATTCGAGGTAATGAGCTGGACAAGGCGACCTCCTGCAGAATTGAGCAGGGCAGATGATGCACCTATATCCACATTCTCTAAGAATCTGCAAGCTTGTATGAAGGTAGCGATGCCTTTGGTTACATTTGCGTTTGCTTGGCTAGATACCATTTCCGAAAGTACGTGTTTCCTGAATGACAGGGTCGCTTGTAACTCTCCGGATGCCCCCGCTATCCTGTG